GGAGACCTACAAGGAGGCTGGAGTCAGGTGAGGGCTAGAGATGACAGAGCCTGGGGAAGAAGAGGAAGGTAGGCAATGTTGGGAGGTGGGAATGACTAGATGGAAGAAAGAGAAGCCGAGGAGGACTCATGCCCAAGACGCTGGCTCACTGGCTGTGTGAACTGGGGCAATTTCCTTAACTGCTCTTGGTTTCAGTTTCCCATCTATGAATGGTGATAATAATCCTCATAGGGTTGTACTGGAGATTAAATGAGAGAAAATGAAATAAATATATAAAAAGCTTAGAAGAGTGCCTGGCACACAGTAAGAGCTCAATAAGTATTAACTGGTATTATCACTTATTATTAATGATTCTTAGGATTATCACAGTTATTTATTTCCCAACAAATGTTTATTGAGCACCTACTATGTGCTGCATGGTGTTCTGAAGATACAGTAGCAAACAAGATCAATATGGACCCAACATTCAGGAAGCTGACATGAGGTAGGAGTGGGGAAGAAAGATACTTAGGTAGCAAAAATTAAATTTACATGAAAATCCCAGGTAGTGATGTTATCAACAGACTAGAAGTCAAAAGGAAGGACAGTCACTAGAAGTAGGGCAGTTACCTTCCACAGGAGTCAGGAAGGCCTCCTGAGGAGGAAACAGAGGAGGAGGAACAGGTACAGGGATAAGCTGGTGGCTTCAACTTTGGAGAGGACAAGACTCAGAGGGAAGGGCTCCTAGGAGGCACCTGGTCCTACCTCTCTCCTGTCCTAGCCGCGGAGGCTGAGCTTCCTCCGGGACCCCTTCGGGTGGTCCGGAAGGTGACGCAGGGCGGCTGGGCTGGGGGGTGCCACCAGGGCTGGGCTCAGTGCCCTTTTGCAGGGAGCCTTCCGAATGGAAACTCTGGTTACTGTTCTCATCTGTGAGAGCAAAAGTCGAGAGGGTTGGGCCTGAGATCCCAGACCCCTCCTTCAATCCCATAGGCACGCCCCCTCAAATCCCAGGATCTCTACATACCATTGAGATCAAGCAGGATGAGAGGGCCACCTCCTCGGGGACTGGCGCCCCTGCCCCGACGCTCCCGGCCTCGGGATCTCTCTGCCCCACCACCTGCCCTCCGACGCTCCTGGGGATTAGAGGGGTAAGGATCACAGTTACCGCTTGCAAAGCCCCCACTCTACAAGTAAGTAAACTGAGGCACAGAGAAGTAAAAGGCCTTGTATGAGGTGACAGAGGTGGTGCACACTGGGTTAGGTCTTGAATTCCAGGGTCTGGAGCAGGAAAAAAGAGGAGTGGAGTTGCCTATAATTGTTAACATGTGTCTGGGCTTTTGCATTTGAGGTCTCAGAGTAGGGACTGAAGGTGGAGGCCAGGATGGGGAGGAGCTTGTCTGAGGTTGCACAGATGCAAGGTCTGGTGTGGGGGAGTTTGCTCACCTCCTCCTGGGGGTCCACCACTGGCACCCACTTGAAGATACGAAGGGAAGTGTCGCCCACAGTCACCCAGCGCTTCTCCCTGTGGGAGAGTGGGGAGACTAGGTCAGAGAGGCCTGAGATGAGGTGCCTCCCTCAGCAACTGGACACACCTGGGGATACCTGCAGAGGTGTGGGTGGTACATAAAGAAGTGGCAATTTGCTAATGGGGCATGGTTAGAGGAAGAAAGAGAACCCTGCAGACCCCAGAGCATACACGGGGGTGCCTCTTGTGAGAGAGTATGGCTTGGGGCCGTGGCTCACAGACTCCTGCGGTATACCTGGGGCAGACAGCAACGGGCTGGCTTCGAATCTGGGAATACTTTAGGGAGGAGTGTCAAAGCTTTAGGGGGCGGGGCGTAAATGGGGGGCTCCTGCTCTGGGAAGGCACGGCTGGGGAACACGCTTTGTAGACAGGGTGTAGGCAGGAAAAGGGGGACAGAGCCCTGCAGATTCAGGGCGCAGCTGGGGGGCATACCTAACACCTGGGGCCATAGTTGGTGAAGGGAGGGTAGATGCCTTGGGAGGAGGAGTGGCCCTGCCAGTCCCGTCCCTGGCCCCAGGACAGCGCTCACCATCTCCGGACCTTCTCGATGGTCGCCATCACCTTCTTGATGTCATCCTTAGCCCGACTCCGGGTCTCAGCCCGCACCGTCCGGCCGGCCATGCTGGCGGGACTGGGGCCGAAGCCGAGCCCGCGGCTGGGCCGCCTCCCGTCCGGCGGGCTCAGGCTCGGCGCCAGGCCGGGTCCCTGTTCTCTCGGCCTGCAGTCCCTTCGGGAGTTGGCCGCGCCCTCCCTCGCTCCTCAACGCCTCCGCGAGTCCCCGCCCCGCTTCCTGCCGCCGCGCCCCGCCCCGCCCCGCCCCGGCCAGTCCCGGAGCGGCCCTGCAGCGGGACTGACTGAGCCCAGGCCTGGCAGCCGGACAGCCCCGCCCCGCCCCGGCCCGCCCCCGCCCCCTGGGGCGCCCGGACGCGCAGCGCCCCCTGCCCGCTGCCCAGAGGGAGGTTGTGGGCTGCTCCGCGACTAGACGCGCGCGGCAGGGCGAAGGGGTGCATCCAGACCACGTGGGTACCGGGGGAGCGCGAGGGGCTGTGTCCGGGTGTGCGTCCTCTGCGCGTGGGCGTCCCTGTGGCGTGCGCGTGCGTGTGCGTGTACGTGTGTGTGTCCACCCTCGCCAGGCTGTCTAGTTACATAGTGTCCAAGTATTCCTTCAGCCATTCATTCAGCAATCTATTAACTGAGTGCCAAGTACGTGCCAGACACTGCATATGGGTGGGTCTCCACCCACCAGAATGGCTAAAATGAGAATGAGTGACTGCACCAAGGGCAAACAAAGTAGAGCAACTGGACCTCTCATATTTCTGGGGGAGTGTAAATTGGTAGAGACACTTTGGAAAACGCAGTTTCCTAGTGAAGCCCAAAATACACCCCACCCCTATGATCTAGCAATTACATCAACACCCAACAGAAATTCGTAGGTGGGAGCACCGAGAGAGGAGAGAGGGGTACTAGAATGTTCATAGCACTATTTATGATAGCCTCAAACTGGAAACAACCCATCAAAGGAGAGTGGAAACGGAGCTGTAGCCTAGTCACACCTTGGACGCAGGAGAATGATGTCACACTACACTCAATAAGGTAGACTAGTCTCACGAAAGAAGTCAGATATAACACTACACACTGTATTATTCCATTCATGTGAAGTTCAAAACTAATTTACGGTGTGAGAAATCAGAATATTGGTCACCCTTGGGACCTGGAGGGGCTAAGAGGGGTTCTGGGAACTGGTCACGTTCTGTTTCTTAATCTGGTGCTGGTTCCCTGGGCATATTTTCTTTGTAAAAACTCATGAATATTTGCACTTTTCCTTATGTATATTATACTTCAAGTAAAACTTTGTTTAAAATGAGCATGTCAGGCCTGGCTGGTTTGGCTCAGCGGTTGGAGCGCCGACCTGTGGACCAGAGAGTCCGCACCGTTCCCACTAGGGGCACGTACCCCCCAAAAAAGTAAATAAATAAAATGAGCATGGTGTATGTGTGTGTGTGTGTGTGTGTGTTTCAGAGGTGTCATTAATGTGTCTGGGTATTTTGGTGTGACTGGGTCCACGGAAGTTAAGGTATAGGAAGATAGTTATTGCAGCATTTTTGGAGCCAAACTGCTGGGGTAAAATCCCAGCTTTGTTTGTCCAGTGACCCTGGATAAGTCCCTTATTTCTAACTCCTCAACTTTAACATGGCAGTGAATTAGTAAGTGTATAGCTTTTAGAACAGCGTCTTACACATAGTAAATACCCAACAAATATTCACTGTTAGTAAGTATGGATTGTGGCCCTGGCCGGTTTGGCTCTGCAGTTGGGGCGACGGCCTGTGGTCCAGAGAGACCTGGGTTTGGTTCCTGCTAAGGACACGCGCCTCGGTTGTGGTTTGTCCCCGGCCCTGGTTGGGCCCTGGTTGGGCCCTGGTTGGGTCGTGTGGGTGACAACCACTCAATGTGTTCCTTTCACGTCGATGTTTCTCTCTCTCTCTCTCTCTCTCTCTCTCTCACTCTATCTGAACAAAAAATGGAAAAATGTCCTCAAGTGAGGATAAAAAATTAAATAAATAAATAAATAAATAAATAAATATGGATTGTGGACCCTATCAATAATCTGGCTTCATTGTACCTGCTGTGTCCTCTGCCAGTAATTCCTTTCTTTCTTTCTTTATTCTGGCAATATCCTCAGAGACACACAGCCTTCTTCCCAGACCCTTCAAGAACATTACCTGCTATTGTATATGGTCTCCCCCATCAGACTGTGAGCTCCTCAGGGAACCAGGGAGGAAGTAGGAATCTTGTATGGGTCCCAGAGCCTAGGACAGACTGGGCGTTTGTCTGCACCAGGTCAGTGGAGTCGACACGTGACTAAGACCTCCACCCGGTACCTGTCTCTAAAGCTTGTTCCTGTGTGAGAATAAAAGTCTGTATGCAGAAGTGGGTGTATCAGCCTGGTAAGGTGAGGTGAGTTGGTGTATCTGTCCCTCTCCTACCTACCTAGTAGGTGCAACGACAGAGAGAGCAGAAAGTATCTAAGGCCAGGTGTATGTCTTGACAGGTGTTGCCCAAGCCTTAGAGCCCCCATCGCGGGCTCTCTCGAACCCCCTCTCCCCCTGCCTCCCAACCAAGAGAGTGCCGGCACATTCCTCTCCTACTATCTCCGCCCTCTCCTATCGCCCCAGTTTTCTCAAAAAAGCAGCCCGGGCGCCAAGCGTTGCCCCAGATCGGAGCCTGAGCCTTCTCCTCCTGGTGTGATGTTGGGCTGCCTCCCAGGCCTAGGCGTCCCCAGCATCGAGGTCCCAAATCCACCAAGCAGACAACCTGCCACTCCTCTCAGGCCCCTTTCTCGACTAGGAAGCGCAAGCAGTGAACTGAGCTCAGGGACAAGGAATCTTGGCTAGGGCGGGGGAGAGGGGGAATTGTTTGGGGTTTGAGCCCTGATTGGCTGCGCCCGGGCCCGCCCCTACCCCTTTCCCCCTTCTCCCCCCACCTTGGAAGGGGGGCGTGGAGGCAACCGGGATCAGCCCGGGGCCAGCATGAGCCGGAGGGAGGGAAGTCTGGGTAAGGGGCTAAAGGGCGGATGCTGAGTTCCCAAGGGCTGGAAGCTGGGGTCTGGGTCCCGGCTACCTCCTTGTCCGGAAAGGGAATGATCTGAGTGGGGGAGAGCTGGGCCTGGGTGTCAGGTAACAAGCGGTGCTCTGTGGGTGAGCTGTGGGAAGGTGCTAGCGCCAGAGTTCACAGGAGGCCTGGAGTTGTGCCTTCAGGAACATGGGCTCAGGGCTTAGATAACCGGTTCGAGTATACCCTGGGGGAGGTCTGGGGTTGTGGCTGGGACAGTCTGCCTGGATCCTCTTTGAATATTTGAAGAGAATCAGAGCTGGGAGCCAGAGGGCAGGATAGAGATAGGAGAAGAAGTTTTGGGCCACAGGAGATAGTGAAAAACAACAGAAGACCAATAAGGTGATAACGATAGGGATAGGAGGTGGGAAACTCGGGTGGGGACGGTGGCGGTAGTGAGGAGCGAGAGTTGCAAAGCCAGGACTACATTCCCCAGCATGCTCCGGGCCTCGTGCGTGTCGCATCTCGGGAAATGTAGTCCTCCCAGGGCGCCAACCTTCAGCTTGTGCTAAGGAAGACTGGTCATTGATCCATTGATGCTGCCAGGTGCCCAGACAAGCGCCTTGCGCAAAAGGGCTGTCAGGGAGGGAATGGGACTTCAGTCTCCCAATCCGTAAAATGGGCGGAAAGGCGTATTCCGATTTGAAATTCTGTGCTTCAGTGATGTTGAATTTCACCAACAACCACAGAGGTACAGAGTACCTAAGGGCTCCCAGGCTGAGGCCAATTCACACAGATAGAAGAGCCATTAAAAGAACTACTTTGGAAATATGAACAATGGCCTTAAGAAGAAGGAAGAAGTGAATTTAAAGAAAGGATGAACTCAAGGCTGCACTGAGGAGTCAGTATTTGAATTTGGCTTTAATACTATTTCAACAGTGATTTGAGGACAGGGAACACATTTCAGGCAGAACAACTGGCGAATGTCTGGTGTTTCATTTTCCCTCAGTTGGAATGGGACAGAGCTTGCCTGGCTTAAAAGTTGGAGAATTCAGAGCTGAGCTTCTGGGTTCAGGAAGAAAGAGCCAGCCTGAACAAAGTGGTCAGAAGTAGGGGTTTGGGCTGCCCTCATTCCTCCCCCCTTTTCCCACCAGAAGACCCCCAGGCTGACTCCTCAATCTCACCCCTGCCCCTCTTGGAGGCCAAGATCCATCAGACACACAGCCTTGCCCGCCTCCTCACCAAATATGCTGAGCAGCTGCTCCAGGAATATGTGAGTGGGGATGGGTGTGGGGGTGCCAAGGGCCTGGGGAATCAGAGAAGTACAGATCACATTTTTATAATAATAATTTATTATTATTATTGTTTTTTTTTTTATAATCCTCACCAGAGGATATTTTTCCATTGATTTTTAGATAGAGTGGAAGGGAAGAAGGGAGAGATAGAGGAAAAAAACACATTGATGTGAGAGAGACACATCGATTGGTTGTTTCCCACGCAACCCCTACCAGGGCTGGGAATTGAACCTGCAACCAGGTACATGACCCTCTCCCTTTTTTTTTTTTAATAAACTTTTAAAATTGTTTTTAGAGAGAGAGGAAGGGAGAGGGAGAGATAGAAATATCCATGAGAGAGAACATTGATTGGCCGCCTCCTACATGCCCCCCACTGGGAATCAGGCCCATAACCTGGGCATGTGCCCTGACCAGGAATTGATCCGGTGACCTTGTGGTGCATAGGTAGATGCTCAACCAGAGGCACACTGGCTGGGCCAGATATGTGCCCTTGACCAGGAGATGAACTTGCCATTCTTTGGTCAGTGGGCTAATGTTCTAATTGCTGAGCCAAACCAGCCAGGGTGATCACAGGGTTTCTTGACCACCCGTTTTCTCAACCTCATTTCCCAGCTGCAGAAATTGGGGCTCCAAGAGGGATCAATAACTTGCCCTGGCCGCACAGCAAATTGAGGGAGGATCATTTCTGTTCCCCAAATGTCCCTCCATCCACCTCAGCTTGGAGGCTCCCTCCTTGGTGCTTTAAGACAGTGGTAGCCTGAGAAGGAAGAGAACACTGGTCTGGGAGTCAGGAAACCTAGGTTCTAGGCTCTGTGTGGTCATCTTACTTCCATGGGCCTTGGTCTCACCAGCTATAACAGGAGGCAGTTGAACAAGATGAGATGTGAATTCTTCTATCTGTGCTATGCAGAGAGGCCTAGGAGGGGTTTCGATCTGGGGAAAAATTCTATCCCAAGAGGGGACTTTTACAAAGGAGGAGATCTGCCAACATCTTTGGTTGGGCAGGGGGTCCTGCCCAAGGAAAGAAGGTATTTTCCCAAATTACTCTAGTGTAGTGGAGGAGGGTATGGTTTTGAATCAGACAGACTGTGGGCCTGCTATCTTTCTGTGACCTTTGGCAGGAATGATAACATTAAAATTATGATGTAACAATTATGACAGTAGGTAGTAGGATAATAGAACTAGCTTTGTAGTCCTACGAATCTTGGTTCAAATTCCAGCTCTGCCCCTTCCTAGATGGATGACCTAGGTCAAATCACTGTACCTCTACAGCCCCCAATATCCTCACTTACAAAATCATCATCATCATCATCATCATCATCATCATCACACCCATTATTGGGAAGATTAGGAATCGTGTGTTTAAAGCAGCAAGCACAATGCCTGAACCAGAGGCAAGATGTTAGCAAAGGATAAATGGTCTTGTTGCAGCAGTTTTACAAATTGCAAATTACCTTTAGCTTTCATTTGTTCATTCATGTGACAATTATTCATGGAGTGCCTGCGGTGTGCCAGGCAGGTGCAGAGGTGCGGGAGCATGCTAGAGGGAGTGAAACCGACTCTTTCCTGCACTATCTTATGTGATTTTCTGGAGATCCCTGGTGGGAAGACAGAACAGGGAGCTGTACCCCCTGCTCCATTCTACAAATGAGAAGACTGAGGCTCAGAGAAAGGAAATGGTTTTGTAAGAAACTGAACAGTTAGTAAATGGAGACAGGATGTGCACCCTAGTATGTAAGATAGCATTAATAAAAGAGCTAACATTTATTGTGCCTTTACCATGGGCCAGGACCTGCCTTAAGCTTTTTAACATGCTCATAACTACCTTATGAAGTTGACAGTATTATCTCCATTTTAGAGATGAGGAAGCAAAGGCACCGGTGTAATGCCCACTTTTTTTCTGTTGTTGTTTTGTATTATCTCAAACACAGCAGATCTGTGAGGAGGAATTTGTCCTTTGCGAGATGGGAAAACTGAGGCTCCAGGAGAGGGAGGAGCTCCGGGAGTCCCACTGACCGCCCTGTCTCCACAGGTGCAGCACCAGGGAGATCCCTTCGGGCTGCCCGGCTTCTCGCCTCCGCGGCTGCCGGTGGCGGGCTTGAGCGCCCCGGCCCCGGGCCACGCGGGCCTGCCGGCGCCGGAGAGGCTGCGGCTGGACGCGGGGGCGCTGGCTGCACTGCCGCCGCTGCTCGACGTGGTGCGCCGCCTGCAGGCCGAGCTGAACCCGCGCGCGCCGCGCCTGCTGCGGCGCCTGGAGGACGCGGCGCGCCAGGCCCGGGCCCTGGGCGCCGCCGTGGAGGCCGTTCTGGCCGCGCTGGGCGCCGAGCCCCGCGGACCCCGGGCCGAGCCCGTCGCCGCCACTGCCGCCGCCGCCGCCGCCGGCGTCTTCTCGGCCAAGGTGCTGGGGCTCCGCGTGTGCAGCCTCTACCTCGAGTGGGTGAGCTGCACCGAAGCCGACCTGGGCCAGCTGGTGCCCGGGGGCCCGGCCTGAGCGCAGGCGTGTCCTCCTCTCGCTGTCACCTCCTTGCCAGCTGTCTTCATCCCTCTCCATCTCTGTCAGTGTCTCCATCTTCCGGTCTCTGTCGTCTCTATTTGCGTTGTATGTTCTCTGTCTCTTTCTCTAGGGATCCTCTTGTCTCAGTATGTGACTTTCCACGACCATCATATTCTTGCTTTCTCCCTCTTTTCTCCGTCGCTTGGGTCTGCCTTTCTTGGTCCCCCCTTTACCAGTCTTTACTCAATGAAAGGGGTCACTTTGTCTCCCTTTTTTCTCTCTTATCTCCCTCTTTGCCCCATATGAGCATGTGTGCAGCTCAGCCTCATCTCAAGGAGGATCATTCTGTTTCCTTCTGTCCCTCTCCCTGTCCCCGGAGTCATTCCACCTGCTGCCCTCTCCCCAACTGTGATGTGCTTCCACCCCCTTCGCTTCCCTCTGCCCTATCCTTGCACCTCCTCTTCCCCCCAAGCCAGGGCTGGAAGAGAAACAGTCAACACCTTGATAGAATTTCATTTCTGAGACTAAATTAAATTTTTTGTAAATAAAATGTTTAAAAATAAAAATAGAATACTAAAGTTACCATTATATATAGTTGTTGAAAATGGGGAGACACCTTTGAGGAGAATAGGAACCTTGGGGTATAGCCTGGTCCCCCAGTCATACTCCAAAGCCACAGTGTTATAGGAGGTTCCTGAAAGTCCCAGGTCAGGGATGCCATCTGTCAGCCCAGAACAGGAAGTGGATGTGTCCTGAGCAGGAAACAAATGTGACATGACTCCTTAGTTTGTTAAGAATTGAACTTCAATAGATCAGGAGGAAGTGAAGCCCCTTAAGACGGGCATTTGTAATAGTGGCCACAGTCAGAAAAGTAGACTAGGGTAGGAAACGAAGTCCAGCGAAAAGAAGAGAGCCCCATCTGCTCTACAAAGTCTGGATTTTCATACAGGAAATGAGGTAGACAGAGACATGAAGGCAGCCTGTGGACCTTCCCCAAATTACAGAAAGGGGACCAACTGCCTGCTCCCTGTAGAGTGGGAAGTGAAGCCTCTTCAAAGAGGTATTACTCTCCACTCAGGAAGTGGGCAACCAGTACCACTGGATTGGTAACTCATGAGATTATCTTTGGAGTCCCACCCAGATCTGGAAGGAGGCTATAGGACTTATGCAGGAAGGCCCAGGCAATTGAGGCCTGCTTCCCAGGAAATATTCCTAATACATGGCACCCCAAACCCTGTCTGCTAGATAAGATATATCTCCTTTCTAGCCAAGAGGCAAGGCAGAAAAGAGCCCATTGTGACAAGCATTATAGCCTCTGACAGGAAGTCCTACCTCCTCTAGCCAGGGTATTTGGCCTTGAGCAGAGCCAAGTCCCTCACAGCCCAGTCTGTCCAGTGGCCATATCCCGGGTCACTGCATAGCCTTGACATTTCCTCTGGAAGGCTGAGCCCCCAAAGTTGACAAACCTGAGAGTGTCCTCTTCAGGGAGAATGGGCAGGCCTAGGGCAGTCATGATGGCAGCCATGTTGCCTATCAGGCCTTGGGCCCTGAGTCTCACATCCCCTAGCTAAGCTAGCAGGATAGGGCTCCCAGGGTTCAGATAGCTCTGGTCATCCCCCACGAGCTGGAGATGCTGGGTCAAAGCCAAGAAGGCCTCCTGGGCACAGCCCAACCATCCCCATCATTCAAGGTATGCCAAGTCTTGAAGGAGACAGTGGTGGGTGGCAGGCTGCTGAGCTGGAACTCAGGGGCTGAGAAGCCAGGGTCACTAAAAGGGCTGCCCTGGTACTGGGGCTGCATGAGGGACAGAGACAGGAATGAAGGGACCAAAGGGGTACCCTGAGACTCCCTATGATTTCACATCTGCCTACTATGAGACCAGCATCTTCCCAGAGGGAGTTGCCATCCACTACCCCTCAGAGAGTTGGTATGACGTCCTAGTATAGAGTCTGGGCTCTACTGGGTTCCAAGTTAGCTTCCTCCGTATACAAGTTGCTCAACTTTGAATCATGGCTTCAGTAATTCCCATGTGGCAATATTATTGTGAGATGATAAGAAGTAATATATGTGAAGCCCTTAGCACAGCACCTGGCATACAATAGAATCATGATAAGCACCATTAATAAATAATATATTAATATTAAAATCATGAACACAGATTTTATTATAATATTTTCTTTCTTTTTTTTTTTTTTTGTTTATCCTCACCCAAGGACATTTTTCCATTTTTTGTTCAGATAGAGTGGGAGGGAGAGAGAGGAAGAGAAAGAGAGAGAGAAACATCGACGTGAAAGGGACACATCAAGTGGCTGCCACCCACATGACCAACCAGGGCCGGGGACAAACTGCAACTGAGGCATGCACCCCCAGCGGGAACCGAACCCGGGTCTCTCCGGACCACAGGCCGACGCTCTAACCGCTGAACCAAACTGGCCAGGGCTATTATAATATTTTCAATCTAAATATGTTATTGACAATGTAGGTACAGCCCTGTGTATTTCTTTTTTATGTAAAGCATTTAGTTGTGTATGTTTGTTAATTTTATTATAATTATTGATAAGTAATTATTAATATTATTCAATTTAGTTGAGTGTCTTCTCCATTAAACTTCTTGCTTCCACAAACCTACACTCACAGAATCTTGGTGCTCACTGATAAATCCCCTCATTAATATGTCACCTAGTCCTACACTCCCATTTTACAGGCGGAGAAAGAGGTTCAGGGTGCCCAAAGCTACCCAGGTAATGACAGGTATGGAAATAGAAACTAGATTTAGTAACTTCACATGGGCCTGGAATATAGGACAGTGGAAGAGTCACAAACTCCAGGGCTTCAGGGGCCACGTAGGTCATGTAACTTGGGGAAGAAAGCAGGACTAAGATGGGCGGAGGTGGGGAGCTTTGGTCAACAGGATGCCTATGCCTGTTTTAGACAGGCACTCACATTAAAATTGAACAAGTGCTGCATGGCCCAAATAGAAAACAGACCAGGCCAACAGGCTGCCAGTTTGAACTTTAGACAGTTGGGGGACGTGGAGGGATTGGCATCAAACGTCACAGACCTGGTTTAAGATCCCGGCACTCTCAGTTATTAGCTATATAACCTCTGGCAAAGTGTTCACCCTCTTTCAGACTCAGTTTTCTTATCTGTAAAGTGGATTATAACTCCACGTCTCAGAACTTTCTGAGGGGTGAGTAGGACAATGGGAGAGAGTGCACAACAGGGCATAACGATCAAATAAACACCACAGCCCGGTGCTTGTGGAAATAGCCGTGACCCGGTAAAGTCCTTCCCTCCGTGTGCCTCCTTTGAATCTTGTAACCGTCCTGAGAGGTCAGCAAAAACAGGATCACTATCCCATTCTGCAGATGAGGAAGCTAAGACTGAGAGAGAAAGAATGACGCCCAAAGTCACCAGCCACCAGTGACAGTGTTCCTGTGGGGGTGTCTCTTGTTGACAGAGCCCCTGTGTCCTCAGACCCATGGAGGAACCTCCCGCTGGCCTTGCTCTGTTTCCCCTACCCAGAGCTGGGCCAGGAAGGCAATGTCCCCCTCCCTTCATTTCCCCTCATGCCCAGTATCACATAAGTCTGCAGTAGTATTGATGTATTCTTCTGCATGTAGAGGGCCAGGCTATAGGCTTGCCTGATGGGCTCAGCTGGGGAGATGGGGGCCCCTGGCCTTAGGGGTGGCAGCAGCAGGGTCAGCAGGCAGAAGAAATGAGAGGTCAGCATCAGGCCCCAGACCCGTCTACTGATTCACTTCTCAAAACAACTCAAATGGAAACAGCCCTTGTGGTCTACAACAATCTTGTGTCTAGGTCAGGGCTAATCACCCTGAAAGTAGGCTATTTCTAGCCTAAAACATTCCCTTGAACTCCAGACCCATGCATTCAACTTCCTGCTTGATATTTTCCCTTAGATATTAATAAGCATCTCAAACTCAAAATATCCACTACTCAACTCTCGATTCCCCCTCCCCCAGTCTTCCTCCATCTCTAGTAAGAGCACCTCCCTTCTTCCAGTTGCTTAGGTCAAAGTCATGGGGTGCTCTTTGAGGCTTTCCCCCCTCTCTACATTTAGCCCACAGTAAATCTTATTGGCTCTGTCCTCAAAAGGCAGCCAGCACAGGCCTGTGCTTCTTGAACCTAGTGCTCATGAAAATGATATACAGTACTCATTTTGTGAAAATTCATTGAGATGTACACTTATGACTTGTGCACTTTTCTGTATATTTGTCATTTGCAATAAAACATTTTTTGTTTGTTTGTTTGTTTTTGTGTGGGGGGGTACGTGTCCCTAGCGGGAACTGAACCCAGGACTCTCTGGTCCGCAGGCCGATGCTCCAACCGCTGAGCCAAACCGGCCAGGGCTGCAATAAAATGTTTTAAAAGATGAAAAGTTGTATCCAGAATCTAACCACTTCTCCCCTCCTTTGGCTGCTACCACCTGAATCCTACCTGCCAGCACCTCTCACTGGACCATTACAGTGGCCTCCCTGCTGGTCTCTGCTTTTACCCTGGCCTCTCCCCTCCCCCCTGCCACCCCTCAAGTCCAGCTAGATCCCTCCTCTGCCTGAACCCTCCCTGGCTCCCACCTCATACAGAGTGAAAGCCAAAGTCCTCAGTGTGGCCAAGAAGGCCTGGCCCCTCTGCACTAGCCTGCTTTCTGTTCTTCTGCCTTCCCTCTTAGGTCTGCCAGGATCACCCCAAAACTTTCCCAAGGCTGGCTTCTTTGTTGTTGTTAATCCTCACCCAAGGATATTTTTCCATTAATTTTTAGAGAGAGTGGAAGGGAAGGAGGGGAGGAGAGAAAGAAACATCAATGTGAGAGAGGCACATCGATTGATTACCTCCTGCACCCTGACTGGGGCTGGGATCGAACCTGCAACCCAGGTACTTGCCCTTGACTAGGAATCAAACTCAAGACCCTTTGGTCTCGAGCCGATGCTCTAATCTGCAAGTCAATGCTCTAACCTAAGCCAAACTGGCCAAGGCAAGGCTAGCTCCTTCTTGTACTTCAGGCCTCAACTCATATATGAAAAACCTCTCTCTCTCTCTTGGATTTATAGTCTTTACAGACTAATGCTATTTGCAACTACCTCACTTATTTCTTTGTCTATGTGCTTGTTGCTTTCCCTTCCCCTAGAATGTTGGCTCCAGGAAAGAGGAAACCTCACCTGGTTCATTCACTGCTGGTTCCCCAGCACTGAGCATAGAGGTTAATATGTGCTGAATGGTCCTGGCCGGTTTGGCTCAGCGGTTAAAGCGTTGGCCTGTGGTCCAGAGAGACCCAGGTTCGGTTCCCATTAAGGGCATGTACCTCGGTTGCAGTTTGTCCCCGGCCCTAGTTGGTCGTGTGGGTGGCAGCCACTCCATGTGTCCCTTTCACGTTGATGTTTCTCTCTTTCTCTCTTCCTCTCTCTCCCTCCCACTCTATCTGAACAAAAAATGGAGGAGTGTCCTCGGGTGAGGATAAAATATATATATATATATGCTGAATGAATGAAAGCTGCCA